GGGAAGCTGTGTCAATATGGAAGGAACATGCTAGGATTCTGGATGTCGTCAGGACCTGCTTCAAGTACAAGAACAGTCGGGATAAGGTTGCAGCTTGACCAGTCTCTGTAACAAACTGAGGGTCAGAAGGCAAAGCATCATGAGATTTTCTGGTTTGTATATAGTGTACTATGAATTCATAAGGGCTTGGGTGTGAATCTAGTGTAGAGTACATGATGGTTGTTATATTACCTGCTTGATTGGTTTGACTTTGAGTGAATAGACCAGGCAGTCTTCAGAGATGCAGGAAGGTCAAATACAAGATGTAGAAGAGGTTCTGTAGGATGGCAGTGCGGATCAAATGTGACTCGCCGGTCAACTGTGCAGTTAATTCTGTGCGTTGCAGGGACAAAGGAAGGCCAATTGAAACGTTGATTCTGAGTGCTGGCTAGAGGCTGGAACGTAGGATGTTGTAACGTGTTGAAGCTGTAGGATAGGTGGACAGATTTCAGTGGAGATGACCATGATAAACTATACTGCTGAGGTATCATGGGAATTTTGAGTCCTAGATGGAAGTTAGTAATATGAGATGGAGCTGACTAATGTAACTACTTGAATGATGGAACGAGGAGCAGAATCTATTATGGAGGGAGTAAAGGGAGTCAGTGATATCGTTGCAGTAGTGTGGAAAGTGTTTGATATGGAGGAGGAACAGGTTGGAGACTGACTGCCAGAGTAGGTGCTGCATGAGAGGCATGACTGTGGCAGAATTGCTTTGACTTTGTTTATAAAGACAATGAGGGCCAGGTTAGAGGGGTGATTGAGGATTGATTTTAGCTTGACCATGGCTCTATGAGAGGGAAGCGATAACAATGGGGTAGATTTTGGAAGTTACATCAAGGGCAGCCTATTGAGGTGGTCTGAATGCCCGATTCAGATGCCTCCTGGGTGACTTGTTGGTGTGGCCAATGGAGGTATGTGCCACTGGCATCTATTGCTCATTTGAAGTGGAGATTGACGAGTCTGGGGATAGATGATTTCTAAGTGTGTGTCTTGCTGCGTGCTGGAATGTTGATGGAAATTGTAGCGGATGTGATGAAGGACGAGTGACTTGGTTGTATTTTGTGAGGTTGTCAGGGTAAAGAGCTCGAGAGTAACTGCAGAAGGAGCAAACCTGCTGGTGTCTACACTGAAAGTGATGTTCACACCCCAGTGTGTAAAAGTGTAGGGTTGTTGACATGGGGGTACAAGTTAGTGATGCTGTCATCCCAGTGCTAAGAATGAAGGCAGAAAAGTGATAACTGATGTGGTACAAAACGGTTGTGAGGGCAGGCCAGTCAAAATTGCTGCAGAAGAAGCAAGTGTGCAGGTATCTGCGCTGAGGCGTGCTGCAGCCAGCAAAATTGTGACTGTTGTAGATAGTTTGTCCTTGTACCTGAAGCACTGTTTTTCCATTAAGTTGACACATTGTGACAAGAGCATGGGAGTGGGAACCTTTCTGGCCTTGGGAATGATTGAGTGATGCTGTAGAGTGAAGATGATTGAAGGAGGAAGATCTGCTTCGAATCGGACAGGATGTGTGTTGGCTGGTTAACTCAATTATTCCTTGTTTGTGATGTATTAAAGGCTTTGCTGAGAGTCAGGTCATTGTCAAACTTTGGTATGATAAGCTGGCAGACCAGTGCTGAGAGAGAGAGAGAGAGCGATAAAGGTTTCTGAGATGGGGGGGATGGAAGGGACGCTAGGTGTTTGTCAGATTTTGAAATGGTTCAACTGTCATCAGCGAAGTGGCAGGTGAAGACCAACGGCGATCTGGTCGGAGCTTTCATGTTGAGGTACATCGTCAGGAGAACTGTCGGGAATGTGGGACCATGATAAATGTTTCTGGGTGCATTGAGAGAATGACTCAACTTCTCTGCAAGCTTGTCTGCTTCAGGCACCAATGGTAGACCCATGGTGGTGTAGTCAGTGATTTTCCTGGAGGATCTGTTGGGAGTGTGCCGATCTTTTCTGGATGCGGGTCTGCTTCAGACAACGACGCTTGAGCGAGTGGAAGTTAAGGAGGGAGTGATTGGTCTTCCCTAAGAAGAGAAGTGAAAAGTGTCTGATGTGGGTGGAGAATGGAGAGAGAAATTCTGACTGAAGTTGTCTCTTTGGGATAAGTGATGCGGTTAATGGCGTTTCTGGAGCGACGCTGATCTCCTTTTCTCCGGGGCCTTGTTGTAAATTCAGCTGATTCGCATGGAGGTGATCTGGAGCCAGGTTGGACATTTCCTCACAGAAGGCTGATGGATGAGCGGAGTGAGCCAGAGTTTTCTAAGAACTTGCAGATTTGCAGTGTGGCTGAGTGATGGTGTGTGTTGCCCCATGCACGGGAAGCAAGAATGAGCATGTGGGAAGGGCAAAGTGGTATGTATAGATGTACAACAGGAAGGGGAGTGATTGAGGTGTGGTCCTGCTCTTGAACCTTAGCTAAAGATTTTATCTCAGTTTGATGAGTTTTGATTTCAGAAATTCAGTTGATTAATCAGTCAATTCAAGTATGAAAGGCATCAGTTCAGTAGATACTTTTCTTGTAAGGCAGGTTGGCTGTGATTTTCTTAGTTCAAGTTGTGATGGTAACTGGTGGAGATTTTAGATTGGCAGGTTTCCTTTACGTTTTCTCAGGGATAGCAAACCAAACAAGAGTCCAACAATATTGGCAACAGTGTTTGTGTTAATGTGTCTTGAAATTTTAACTGTTGACCAGTCAACTGTCAGAAATTTGATTTGCATGTTAAGTCACTCGGGGATAGAAAAAAATGATCTGTTTTACTGACACCTCAAATGGGCAGAATGAACAGCTAGTTTTCTTCCCTAATTAGCATTTGACCAAAGCTTAATAAAAAGTGAGCAGTGACAGAGGGAAGCTAAATATACACTATATGTTTGTAGGTCTATACACATATACCTAAACAGATAAAACACATGGCTGATATTTTAAGCTTTAATTAGCTATTAATCTAGCTAAGCTAATAAGCACACTTGCTTTCTCCCCGTTAAAGGTAATTTCTAGTTTATTGCAACTTGGATTTTTTCAGTCACTTATATCAACTGTGATCACAATGTACTCATCAGTTTACTGATATCTTACAATGTGTTGACACAAAAAGGTAGGTTGAACCCACAGGTGGGTCTGTAAACTGTGATGTGTCCCAAAAGTGATCAAGCAACTTCTTGCTTCTGAGGGAAACCTAGTTTCTGCTTGATTATATTCATAATGTAACACAGAAACATTACCAACTATTTCATTGCTTTCTCATCTGTCCTTTTCAGCCATCTAACCACATATTAGATGGGGCGGAACTCGTCACTCCAGTATCCCAGAAAATAGAAAAGAAGCTTGTAACATTTTGTGAAAAGGTTTAAGACAAATCATGATATTTTAGTAAAGCTCACCAAACAGATTTGGTGTCTGAAACTAGCCTAAAGCAAACCCAAAGTAAACAAAAAGTTAACTACTTAAAACAATGGTCCCATATGGGATGCAAATACTGCTTCTGTTGCTGAGGTAAGCTTCGGTTAGGACTAACTCATGCTTTTCACAACTGTGTTTCTGGTTTTCCTTTGTGAAATTTTGCAAATCTGGATTAAGTCCTGCATTTTGAATTATTATTTCCTCTACGCCTTTGAGACTGCACCTTTGTCCATCTTTGTTTTGCAGAGTTACATGGTTACAGCTGTCATCTGTTCTGGGTTTAGTGGAACTGTCACTGTCTTGTTTCCATGTTACTCTGCTTGGATTCAGACAGAGTGTTGTTTACATGAATGAAGTGATATTTCTATAGCAGATATCTAGAGGATGATTCAGATTGATAAGGTCGAAACGCTGGCTGTAAGCAATGTTAATATTATGTCCACATAATAACAGCATTACATTTGCTTGCCTTTAAAAATGTGCCCATTTTGTCAGCATGTTTTCATAGTTTGTGTCAGGATTTTCATTGCAGCTTCATGTCCAGTTCTTACTGGATTTATGAATTTAATCCAGGAAGAACACTACTGAAAAGTACTTCTTTTTTTCTTTTGTACTTACGGTCATGCAACAGGTCAAACAGATAAGTCAACCCCTGACCAAGAGATAGTTTGGACTGGGGAAAAAACAGTCTCTGATCAAGAGCTAAAGTACAATTATGTGGGCCACTGATTAACTACAAGTAATTTGTTCATTAATTTATTTGTTACATTACTAGTTTTTAATTGTTGCCAATAAATATAATTAATTCCATTATTGTTCTTATTTTCAATATCTACTTCTTATTTAGTTGTTGTCTTATTTTCATTATAAAAAACATGTTAGCAAATATTTTAGTTTTTTGTTTAACAAAGTAAACTGGTCCAATCATAATCAGATCTTTACATTAGGTGTAGCCAATATGGCTAAACTGTTTGCTTGATTTCAACCTGTCTGGAAGCATTTCTTATTCTGCTTTACATCATTTCACTTTGTAAGTACAATGATATATTTGCTGGATAAATTGAGAACTTGAAAGACTATTAACTCAAACAATCCTTCAAGAGATTATATATGTCGTCAGGGCAACTGCCATTCATGATATTATCTCAATGATAAAGAAACGTACAAGACACTTGAAGACTGACTTGACTACCTGTCACATGATTGGCTATTATAAATGCTGAAGCATATTGATAGTACAAACTGTCCTCCGAATGAAACACATGACATCCAGGGTCTGAATACTAATAAAAGAAAATTAACTAAACAAATGCAAATAGCATTTGACCCAGGCATGATTTTTACAGCAAATATTAATATAATATCCTTTTCTAAATTTAAATTGTGCAAATCTCTGTAGAGTGCAATCAAAAAATACCCAACATTCTTCCACTAATCCTGCCCCTGAAATCAAAGTGAGGGCCATGATTACTGGACAATATTATGTGGAGTTCCACATGGATCCCTCTAAGCAGTGAAACAATGTCTTTTTACACCAAACTGCATAAAGTGCCACGTCCCCATTCTAGAGTCCTGGCTCAAACACCAGGAAGTCAATGTGGTCCTTCTCTTTGGTCTTGAAGGCCTCTGCGATGATTCGGGCAGCATCTTTGTGCTCCTGACCTTTCAGAGAAATGCCGTTGACTTCCAGAATGATCTGACCCACCCTCAATTGGCCGCAGTTGTGAGCCGAGCCTCCTTTCTGTCAACAGCGATCAAGAGGAAAGGGAGGAGGGAAAGTGTAGTTAGAAAGAAAAAGGCTCAGAGGAAAGCAGTGCAGTGTTAATACATCCAAGCAGTGTAGAAAAACAGCACAAAGGTTTCCTAACTTTATTCACCAGTTTATTACAAACTAAGGTAGAAGGTGTTCTGCTGGTTTTAAAAGCAGGACTTCTCTGGAATGCAACACTTTATCATTTTATTCTTGGATGATTATTTCAGTTGTAACCTTAGAGTCATTTCCTGCAGTCAATGTTACACATTGTGTCTGCATCAGTCATCAGTCTGCTTGTTAAACGCTGCATGATTAACCTCCTTGTTCAACCTAATGCAAGGTTTACATTCTTTATATTTTGCTGATTATTCATTTACATTTATTCTAACCAATACTTTGCTATACATGCTTTTGATTAAAGCTTTATATCATATAGCGTAATAACAACCAGTCAAGGACTGACTTTAATATTGAGCTGCAACAAATAGGTTCAAGAAGTTTGGAGACAGTATAGTTATTTCTATCAGTGAATACTTGTACTTGAGAAATTCCTCAAAATACCAGGATATAAAGTCCTGCTGTTTACTTCGAATACAATTGAAAATAAAAATGACTGGTAAAAATATAAAACAACTAATAAATGCAAGGTTTACTAAACATTGACTGACTTATATTTGTCTCATGGTATGCATTGTAAGATTTGGTGAAATCATAATTAATTGTAAAACTGGGAAATATTCATGTGAATTTTCTCTACAAATTGTAAGTTGCACCACTCAATATGCTTTTTAGAATAAGAAGGGATCAAGGACCATGTGTAATGTAAAATGTATCACTTGCAAGTCACAACCAACTCTGCAGTTCTGGCCATGTAGAACTTTTAAAATTTTTTTTGATCATGATTGTTGCTTTGAGTCTACTCTGCACGGTGGCTCTGTAGTTAGCACCGTCGCCTCACTGTGTCCTCCAGTTTCCTCACACCGTCCAAAAACATGCTGAGGTTAATTGATTATTTAAAATGTTCTATAGGTGTGAATGTGAGTCTGCTAAGTGTAGCCCTGTGACAGACTGGTGACCTGTCCAGGGTGTCCCCTGCCTGCCCCCCAAGCTGGCTGGGATTAGACAAATTTGCAAATACATTTTGAGACTGTTTATTGTGCTGCAACAGAGCCAGTGAGATTGGAGAGCTGAAGTACTTACACTAACTTAAGTAATTCCATCTATATATGTAGTTCCAAAGTTGTATTTTGGTAAAGTACGCACCAAATTTTGACAAGGATAAGCGAATAAACCCATATCTATGTGGCTAATTCAGTGATTTTGAACCTTTCAGGAAAAAAAAAAGAATGCAGCTTTTCAGTTTTACCAGAGTGCACTTGTAAATGACCTTTTTTTCCTTCTTTTAAGGGGAACATACTTGGACACTGTCATGGCACCAAAACTTAAAAAATATTATTGATGTAAGTTCTATGTATTTGTGATTGTAGTGTGGTTTATGAGGCAGGTTGGTTAAAAATTGCAATTTAATTTCTGTTGAAATGTTTGGATATATTTTAAGATCTCTTGCCTTCAGGTCACTAATTAAATACCTTTTTTTTTGTCTCTTTGACAGTGCAGTTTACAGTCCGGTGACATTATATGAATATACCTACTATACTATAAGATATTTATGTGCAATGTCTCGCTGAATACAGGGACACTGCTGCAAAATTACTGTGAGAGTCATGAGCATACTGAATGACAGTGTCACCCATAATCCTGACATTCACAGATACAGGTGGAAGGAGAGATTGCTATGGACACCACTGCACTGCTCAGGGATATCCTGTTCATAAAAGAAACTGTGAGCCTCTGGAGTACCGAGACCACAGTCTTGGTACTTCCAAGGCTGTAAATGGTTCAGTGATTACTTCATGTCAGCAACTCTCACCCTTATAAAATAAAGAAACAAATAAATACAAGGTAACATTCAGATTAGAGTTTTTATGAAAACAGAGTCAAAATTGTCTGCTGTTTTTGAATCAATTTTTTTTTTTAAAAAGATACAAATCAGTGACTTCAAACCTAAACTTAGCTGAACTCTTTTGTATGGCTATCCTACCTGAATGGTGACTATGCGTGGCAAAGGCTGGCGTGTATTGGCACCTCCCTCTATTGCAATGCCCAGGGTGTTGGAATTTTTCAGCACTCTTACCAGAGTAGCAGTGGGTGCTGGGACAGGTGAACAAGTCTGCTGGGACAAAAAAGTAAAGAGAGGTCAGGAGCAAACAACTGAGAGCAAGGTTTTACTTTATACTGTCTTAACTGCAATGGTTGTAGATCTTGGTTGCAAAATTGAAAAAAAAAACCTGTTAATACATTAGCTGATATAAGCTAAAACAGGCAACCTTTCTCCTATTGGGAATGTGCACAAGATACATCCTCAAGCTAGCTACAGAAAGCGAAGAAGTCCATCTTGACAGCAGATTACTGCAATATTGAACCCATTGTCTTTTGGAAGTGTATTACAACAGTTTTGTTTTGGGTGATGGCTTTGTCACTGAAGAACCACAGGTTGAATTGCTTTTAGGAGGTTACAAGTATAAAACTGAAAAAAGCACTGTTGTTATTGTGTTTCTGTCATGCCCTCCACCTTGTGGGCAGCTGTGGCTCAGGTGGTCGTGTGGGTTGTCCACCGATTGCAAGGTTGGCAATTTGATCTTGTGGCCCTCCACATGTCGAAATGTTCTTGGGCAAGACAGTGAACTTGAATTTGCCCCCAATGGCAGACAGGCACGTCGCATGGTAGCTCTGTTCCCATCAGTGTATGAATTTGTGTGTTAATAGGTGAATGAGAAACACATTGTAAAGCACTTTGAGTACCACTAAGGCAGAAAGGAGTTATATACATGCAGACCACTTACCATTTACCTCAACTGCTTAGCTGTCAGCTTTTCCTCCTTTCCTTTCCCCCCTCCATTTGTGTGTAAGAATGAGATGAGTGAGTGTGTGCTTTCATTTAACAGGTCTGATTGGATAACTGGCTGAGTGAGGAAACCTGTGACGGAGGAGTGGCACACCTGATCATGATCTCCTCCTGACAATGAAAGAAGGGCTCAGTTCACAACTTGACACCAGACCATTGTACAGCAATCTGTTAGTTCTCCTAATTACTCCCGCTCCAAACGTCCTGCCTTCTATCCTCACCTGGATCCTGGTCATCTGTCATCCCACTCCAAACCTGCCACAACCAGAAGAAACCACATTCGTCGATCTCCCTTGCCTCATCGTGCATCTCCTATGCCTGCTTTCCCCTAACCTCTCTCCCTATTATGCAACAGCTAAGTAGTCAGTTTCACGTTCGCGTAGAGTGATTGTCTTGCTTTTTTTTTTTTTGATACGAAATAGTGTGTAATATTGGTGTACTCATAAGGTTCAAGATTTTTGGAACGCCTACCACTAAATCCACATTCGCAAAGGAGATAAGTGGAAGACACCGTTTAATACACCACTTGGACATTTTAAGTATTTAGTGATGCTGTTTGGACTGACAAATGCTCCAGAAGTTTTCCAGAACCTGATAAACGATGTGCTCCTGGGTGTGATAAATAATGTCATGTTTGTGTACAACATCCTGATCTTCTAGCAAAACCTTGAGGACCACGTCAACCAGGTCCGCCTAGTCCTGTAATGGCTCCTTCAGAACCGCCTCTGCATAAAAGCAAACAAGTGTAAGTTTCATACCTGCACAGTCTCGTTCCTGGGACACATCATCACCCAGGGTGAGGTTAGGATAGACCCCCAGAAACTTACCACCATTCAGAAAACACCTCCAGAGATTTCTGGCTTTCGCCAATTTCTATCATCATTTCATGGCAAAACAGCTGCACTACTGACCGCCGTCAGTTCCACCTCCAAGCCTTTCCTCTGGCCTTTCCTAACCCTAGTGATTCAGTCTGTATTGTATTTTGTCAAATCCCATTCCGAGTCTAATGTCCTGTTTGGGCTTCCATTGATTCCCCGTGCCTCGTTCTCCCGTTTCCTGTATGTTACGGTCCTGGGCTGCTGTGCTTCTTCTCTCCTGTCACCTGTATTTTGCTACAGTCTTCCCAGCCTCCGTGGTTGTGTCCCTGGATTGGAAGCAGACTGTACTATGGCGTCCAATGAAGTTGTGCCTTCAGCTTTTAAAAAAACTCATTCATCCGGCATTTGGCGGAAGTTCTTCTTGGAGCAGTTAAGCTTGCCTCTGGGTGCTTTCAATTTGGAAAGAGTGTAAATGGTCTGCACTTATATAGCGCTTTTTTAGCTTAGTGGTACTCAAAGCGCTTTACAAAGCTTTACAGTGTGCAATAAAAGATTTGGTTAAGTTGTTACAGGTGAAGGGCAAGGGCTTAGGTAGGTTTTATTAGACTACTGAACATGTTGACATTAGTGATTCACTGTTAATGTAGCTTAGGGCTTAGGGGTGCTACTCAATTTGTATTTAAGTTTTTTTTTATTTTTTTTATTGTGTTTGTTTGTTTTGGTCGTTTAACCTCAACCTTTGATTTAAGTAGCACTCACTCTGCCTTTAACCCCCTGGCTTTTTCTTTTTGTGTTATGATAAAAGAGAGAAATTCCTTCGACTTTCAATAAATCTCAGCTTCTCAAGCTGAAACATAACATCTATCGTCTGCTTTTACCCGTCAGTATCTGGTGTAACCACCATTTCCCTCATACAGTGCAACACATCTCCTTTGCATAGAATTGATCAGGTTGTTGATTGTGGCCTGTGGAATGTTGGTCCACTCCTCTTCAATGGCGGTGCGAAGTTGCTGGATATTGGCAGGAACTGAAACACATTGTCGTATACGCCGATCCAGAGCATCCCAAACATGCTCAGTGGGAGACATGTCCAGTGAGTATGCTGGCCATGCAAGAACTGGGATTTTTTCAGCTTTCTGGAATTGTACACAGATCCTTGCAACATGGGGCCGTGTATAATCATGCTGCAACACGAGGTGATGGTCGTGAATGAATGGCACAACAATGGGCCTCAGGATCTCATCACAGTATCTCTGTGCATTCAAAATGCCATGAATAAAATGCACCTGTTTGTTGTCCATAACATACACCTGCCCATACCCTAACCCCACCGCCACCATGGGTCACTGGATTCACAACGTTGACATTAGCAAACCGCTCACGCCATACACACTGTCTGCCAT